AGAAAGAATATTATGGGCTGGTGAAATGACTCAAGTGGTAGAGTGCCCGCCTAGCAAGTGTGAGGCTCTGAGTCAAACCCCAGTGCTGCAGGGAAGGGAAAGGAGTCAACAGGTAGAGTCCACCTGCTCAGGCTCCACTTACAGACACTAACTTCAGAAGATCTGAGCAGGACCCCAGCCATTTCTCAATAGTGGAAGGAGAAAAAAAGTGCTAATTTTCTTTGTTTCTCTCTCTTTTTTTTTTGTGGGGTGGGGTTTGAACTCAGGGCTTCGTGCTTGCAAAGCAGGTGCTCTACTGCTTGAGCCTCCAGTCCATTCTGCTCTGGTTATTTTGGAGATGGATTCTCCCAGAGACAGCTACGGTTTTCACTTGTGGTCTTCTCTAAGAATTTCCCCTATTCTAAGAATAATAGTAAATCCAAGGACTAGAGATGTAGCTCAGTGGTAGAACAACTGTCTAGCATGCACGACATAAAAAATAAAATAAAAACTGTGGGCTTGAATGGGGCCAAGCACCCTGGCACATCACCCTGCACATTTCTATGTAGTTACTGAAGTATGATAATAACTATTTAGGTGGCTACAAGGCCACCTGATCAGTCAGGAAAACTCCTAATAGCAAATATGGAGGCTTCAAAGTCTCTTCCCTTCCTGCTGCTCCTTCAAGACAGCAGAAGATAACTGCCTTTCTCTCTTACAAAACACCATAGATACCTCAATTACATACATCCACCTACTCTGTAAGTTGTGCAAGCAATCAGATGGATACACTTCCATTACAATGTCAATCTCAAGTTTCTTCTCACTAAACTTCCATAAATATGCCAGTCCCTTCCATTCTAAACCCTGTCTTTGTTGAGGCAAATGGGCCCACACTCAAAGACCTCAGCACCTCTTCCAGGATTCTCCATGGAAGCACCTTTGGAAAGAAGGGCAGAACTCACAGCATACCCCAAACTCACACCTGTAATCCTAGCTACTTGGGAGGCTGAGATCAGGAGGATGGAGGTTGCAGGCAAGTAGTTTGAGAAAACCCCCTCCCCCAGTCTGCAAAATAACTAAAGCAAAATGGACTACAGGTGCTTTGCAAGCGTGAAGTCCTGAGTCCAAACCCAGTTCCTCCAAAAAAAAAAAAACAAACCTCAGAATCACCCAGGGCACTTGTTAAACATAAACAGTACAAGGCTTCTCCCAGGACACTGATTCAAGTAGACAGTGGGATGACCAGAAATCTGCCTTGTAACAAGTTCCCAGCACTTCCTCTTCTACGAAAATGTCTTCCACTTCTCCCACACCTGTGCCTTCTTCCAGGCACTGTCTCCCTTCCAAGGTTCCCTCTCCCGGTCCACCTACACAAAGCAAATGGTTTTTCCAACAAATCCAGCCTCACTGACTTCTCAGCTTAGTCACGTGAACCAAAGTAATATTTGGTCTTTAAGTGTAGTGCTATTCAATAAAGCTTGTGGACCTATTGCTATCAATTTCTCTTATTTGCCTTTTCTAGGTGATGTAAGAAACAGCAAGCAAGAGCAAATGCTTTGCAAATGTGCTTATGTGTGTTGACTGTGATTTTGGAGGTGTGGTTATTAACACAAAAGCCCCCAATGGTTTGTTGTATTTGGCTGTCACCACTGTATGTTACAGGCAAATGGTATCTTAGCTCTCCCACAAGGAAAGCCGTTTATTTTGCAGAAGCTTCATAATTACAAGCTTTCCCATTTCTTCTCTCTCATAAGCAGCTTACTCACATAGTTAAGAGACCTACTAAATAAAGCCGCCTCCTCAACTGAGCTTGTATTTGCCTTTAAATTGTACCAAGAAAAAAGCAACATGTTCCAGTGGTGAGAAGTAATCCAGCCAACTGTTCAGTATCTGAGGAGGAGGGAGCAGGATGGCATTTATAAGCCCACAGATGACTCCCAACTGCATTTCAGCCTGCACAGTAACTGTGGCAACTGTGGGCTCTTTATGGGAGCTGCTATCCTCACTTGAGAAAAGGAAGCAAGCTGGTGAGATCATCTCCAAGGCCCCCTCTAAATCCTAACAACCTACCACTGGATACTCCCAAGTGCCAAGGGGCAAGAGTTAAGGAAGCCAACTATTGGGACTCACTACTTCCCCTTACAAGAGTGTCTGGGGGTGAGGGCAGCTTTCAACTCCTTCAAGGTCTGTCTCATATTATGAGTACCCATGTTCCAACTTCAGAGCACTTAAGAATAATCTGCCAGTCAGACATCCTGTGGCTCACACCTGTAGTCCTAGCTACTCAGGAGGCAGAGATCAGGAGGATCACAGTTCAAAACCAGCCCAGGCAAATACTTCATGAGATCCTATCTTGAAAAATACCCAACATGAAACTGGGCTGGCGGAATGGCTTGAGTGGTAGAGGGCCTGCCTACCAAGCATATACCACAAAATAAGTAAATAAAATCTGGGGTTAATTTTGCTTCTGATGTAGAATTGGGGGCCCACCATTAACCATCTTTTTACTTTTTATTTTTTGGTGACACTGGGGTTTGAACTCAGGGCCTCATGCTTGCTAGGAAGGCATTCTTTACTGCTTGAGCCCCTCTGCCAGCTCACCATTAATCATCGTGATCTAATAGATGTACAGGGGGAAATCCAAGAATCTGCATTTTTTTTTTCAAAAAAAACCAAAACACCTAATATTGGTTGAGGTTCTTACATCTCCCTCTCAGCACCCTTGTGCTATTCACTAATCTGTTAACTGTGACAGAACAGCATGTGCTTCAACTCGTTATTAAACAGATTTTTAGAGTATCTAAATCTGTCCATGAGCAGTAGGCTCTGGGTGACAAACTTCTTTTACTTCCTGTAAGGCACCTACAGTGCCATTGTCAAGATCTTTCCGAATGAAGTTGTGATCAAGCGATGGATGAGCCGAGGAGTGCACAACTTAAGTGGAGCTGCAGGAGCAGGAAAGCTACTACTAGGCTTTGTAATAACTGTCTACCATAGTTTAAGTACCATCAAACTCCTCCAACTTCTTTTCTTTTGGTGCAGGGCCTGGTGCTCACCAAGCCCACACTCTTACCACTGAACTCCTCCCACCCCAAGTCCTTCAATTCCTTTATCTCCAAACCCAGAGGGAGATCATCACAACTCCAAATGCTCTGCTGCTCTGAACTGGCCACTACTCCTCAATGAACTCAGCTACTTGTATTCCCACGATGAACCCACTGACCAAACGGGCCTGAGGGCCTTGGAGGAAATTTAACATGAGCTGGTAGATGTGACATCACTGATTTTCTTTAAAAAATTTTCCAGGCACTGATGGTCCTATAATCCTAGCTACTTGGGAGGCAGAGACGGAGGATCAAGGTAAAAGCCAGCCTGAGGCAAATAGTTCTTGAGAAAACACATCACAAAAAAGACCTGATAGAGTGGCTCCAGTGGTAAGAGCTCCTGCATAGCAAGAATGAGACCCTGAGTTCAAACCCCAGTGACACCCAAAAAAAACAAACAAATAAATAATAATTTCACTTTAAAACTTAACAAGGTTCCTCTTGAAAATTTGCAATTATAACAGTTATTGGTTGTACCTTTCCTAACATTTCTATAGGCCAAATCCCTATAGAACTGGAGGGGGGAAAAAGGTACCTTTCAAGTTCACTGTTTTGAAAGAATATGGAGTTTAGACTCTCCAGTAAGTAGTTCAACACCTTCTTTTTTCCAGACAGCCTCACTATGTCGCCCAGGCTGGCCTCCTACCTCAGCCTCCAAATTCTGGAATTACAGATAGGCCCACCAGGCCAGGCTTTAACATCCTAATTGAAAAAAATATATCCAGTAATAATGTGATTAGAGTTTAAAGTCTTGGCTTCAATCACAGCTAGGTGATAACTTGTTAAGAAAAGCCACATTAAACCTACTCTTTGTAAGTACTTTGTGATTGTAGAATTGTGTCCCCAGGTAGAAAAAGAGGTGGCAAAGAAGGGAAACCCAAAGTATAAGATGGATATAAAAAACGGCTACTGGGCTGGAGAAATGGCTCAGGCAGTACAGTGCCTGCCTAGCAAGCATGAGGCCTGACTTCAAACTTCAGCGCTACCAAAAAAATAAGTTATAATGATGATGCCTTGGTAAAATTGGCTCTTGGTGAACGGAAGGTTCAGTTTTGTAAGATAACTCAGGTACACAGGACCCAGAAATGACATAAGTATTAAGAGTGGAAGGCTCTGGAGGCTCACGCCTGTAATCCCAGCTACTCAGGAGGCAGAGATCAGGAAGACTGGCGTTCAAAGCCAGCCCCATACAAGGGGCTTGCAAGACTTTATCTCCAAAGTACCCAATACAGGCGGGCGCCGGTGGCTCACGCCTGTAATCCCAGCTACTCAGGAGACAGAGATCAGGAGGATCAGAGTTCCAAACCAGACTGGGGCAACAGACCCTATCTCGAAAAAACTCATCACACACACACAAAGAGCTGGTGGACTGGCTCAAGCGGTAAGAACACCTGCCTAGCAAGCGTGAGACCCTGAGTTCAAACCCCAGTGCTGCCAAAAAAAAAAAAAAAAAAAAGGGTGGAAGGCCCCAAAGCATCCAAATACACGTAAAACGAGTCAACATGTACCATCATTACCATGACTTGAAGAAAATCCAGAACATCTAGGCCATGCGGGCCACACGATCAAGTAAGCACCACTTTAGATTCTATCGCCTAAAAATGGCTTTAGGCGGTTCGTGCAATGAAAAGCATGAGAGCTGGGTGCTGAGTTCGAGCCCCCGCATGGCGGAGGGGAGCGCGTAAGCTACAGATCCTCGGCGTGTCCTCGGAGGGCGGATCTTCAGGTGCACCAGGGCCAGGCGGGAGCCTGGCGACAGCTGAGATCCTCGGCAGACGAGCTGCCAGCGCCAGGAACGGCAATGCAAAGGCGGAGCGCAAACGGGGGGCAGAGAGGGAAGGGGGGCGCCGCGGGCGGAGCGGCTGGCAGCCCGGTCCCCATCCATCGCGTCCGCGGGAACCGCCGCGCACTCACTCACCTGTTCGGGACACGAGCTCGCGGCGCCCGAGGCCACCGAGGCCGCCGCCAGGAGTCGGGGGGACGCGGGCCGTGCGGCGGCCGCCGGCGGGGACGACTGGCGGCGCGGCCCGGGAGCTGGCAGGCGGCGCAGGCCGGGGACGTCCCTCTGCAGCAGGGCGGAGCAGAGCCGCCGCGGGCTCTGATACATGCCGGGCGCCGCCGCCACAACCGCCGCGGCCGCTTCGCGCGCGGGAGGAGGGAGCCTGGCGCCGGCCGGCGACGCGACGCGACGGGAGGCGAGGCGAGGGGACCGTCGGGGCCTCCGGGCCGGCGCCCTCGGGCTCCTTTCTCACCCCGCCCAGGGCCCGGGGAAAAGTCCCGGGCAGCCGAGATGGAGACGGGCAGAGAGATGCGACGGCGGCGGCGGCGGCGGCGGCGGACTGTGCGGCCGGCTGGCGAGAACAGGAAGGCAACCCGGCGAGGCCGGGCTGACAAAGCGGGCGATACCAAGTGGGGCCGGGAGGGGGATCCGCGGGGCCTCACCCCGGCGCGGCCAGGCTGGGGCCCCCGCACCCCGGGCAGCCCTAGTTCAAAAGAAAGGCGGAGCAAAGACTTTACATGAGGTGGTAGCTGTAGGAGAGCTAAAGTGACAGGTATCCATTGGAGCGGCTTCAAAGAAGCCAGCGTCCCCTGCCGCTCGCTGCAATGGAAGCACCCACAGGCTGGGAATCCCGAGACAGTTCCAGGGCCGTGGCCCAGGGGACACGTGTGTGTCCGAGTGGAACAGGCAGCCGTGTGCGCGTACGCGTGTCTGTCAGAACACAGCAAAGGGCGTCCGCCGCCGCCTGCCTTTGGACGGGGTGTTTTGCGTTAAAATTAACCATGATAAAGCACTGACCACGTGCTAGGGTGGTGGTGGCTACAAGAAATGTCCCTTTCCTCAGGGCCACGAGACAGAAGGTGACAGCAGAAATTAGACCATAAAGCGCTACAAGGTAGATTATGATCAATGCCACAAGATTGGTGACAGAGGTTACAAGAGGTCCGGGATCTGTAGAAGGTTTATTAGAAGGATTGATATTTGAAATAGGGCCCTATGTGGAGGTCTGAAATTTACACCTGTGGTATTGGGGGGACAGAGGGCAATTCATACATGAAGAAAGCAGATAAACAGAAAAGCCCTGGCTGTGTTTGGGGGGGAAATGCCCCCAATGATGGAAGGTGGACGCTAAGAAGATGTAGTGGGAGGCAGAGCTTATACTAGACCTAGGTTGGTAGGTGGAGGTGAGCCTTATATTTTCAGCAGGCAAGAATATTGTCAGGGCTGTGCTTTAATTGGATATCACGTGTCTCTGGTAGGGAAAAGGCAGGAGAAAGGAGACCAATCAAGATCAGAGATACTCTAAATCTGCACTGGGTTGATTGGACTTCAAAAAGACTGGTTGGGAAGAAATATCTCCGGTAGATGCACAGGAGATGCAATATTGGGGGAGAAGACTATTGCTCTCTGACTTATAAACAGAAGTATGTTCTGTTGACTTCCCCATGGTTTTGCTGATGCCTTTGTCTTCTGGTTTTGGAAGCCTTTCATCACCAAGGATATTCAAAATATTTTCCTGACCTGGGTTATATATCTAACATCCAGATGGTGTGGATGAGTCAGTTCACACAACTCCTGGGAGACAGCTCCTTGGCCATCTGGGTTTCCTTATCTATGAAACAGTCATACCTGAGTCATTAGGTGAAACAAAAGGTGATGACACCTGGGTGAGGTAGTGAAGCTTTCCTGTAATCTCAGGCAGCACTGGGGAGGCTGAGGCAGAAGCATTGGGAGTTTGACCAGTGTGTGCTGCACTGCATAGTGAATTAGAAGTCAGCCTGGGATGTATTGTGAGACCATGTCTCAAAAAAAAAGTGATTATAAAATTAGCCCATAACAAGTATTTTTGCAAACATATCAAAATGGTGACTTAGAAACTAGGTGATGGGTGTATATGGCTTTTCACTTACAACTGTATCTCTCTTACATATGTTGGGAGATATATAATAAAATGTTGGGAGAAGCAGAGCAGATTGGTTACGCCTATAATCTTAGCTACTCAGGAGGCAGAGATCAGGAGGATTGTGGTTTAAAGCCACCCCGGGCAAATAGTTCATGAGACCCTATCTCAAAAAAACCCTTCACAAAAAAGGACTGGTAGAGTGGCTCAAGGTGAAGGCCCTGAGTTCAAAAGATCCTATCTCAAAAAAAAAAACAACACAAAAATGGGCTGATGGAGTGGCTAAAGTTGTAGAGTGCCTGCCTAGCAAGCATGAGGCCCTGAGTTCAAACCCCAGTACTACCAAAAAAAAAAAATAGTTGGAGGCCAGCCTGGGTTACATACTGAGATCCTACCTCAAAGAAACAAATAAATTTAAATTCATTCAGAGGCTGGGGATGTAGCTCTGTGGTAAAAGACTTGCTAGTTTGCATAAGGCCTTGGGTTCGATTTCCAGAACCCCCCCCCCCCACACACAGACAAACAAATTCATTCGGTAATCATTTGTTGAGTACCTACTACGTGCCATGCTCTATATGAGGGGACACAAAGATAAACGAAGTCTGCGTACGGTTTTGCAGTTGAGACTTTGTATAGATACACATGCTTGTGTGTATCTGATGATAAATCCAAAATCACAATATGGACAAAGTCGTGTGAAAACAGAAGAGGAAATTCTTGCGCTGGCGGTGTGCCTCAAAGGGTAGAGCACCTGCCTAGCAAGGGTGAGGTCCTGAGTTCAAACCCCAATGAGGCAGGCTAAATAGGGACTAATAGAAAAATATTACATCTTAGATTCACCATGCTTTGGCACAGGAACCACGCTCACCTAGCTGGGAACCGCCCACACCACTCCCCACTCATTAATTGTTGGGTGGGAATCTTCTTGTTCTTCCCTTCCCATAGGTTAGTGTAGGTTTTAAAAGGCTCTGCAGGGCAGAAACACACTCTCTTGGCTTCCGCCTGGGCCTCACCATGCTTCCCTTTGTATTTCTCTTCCCTAACTTTTAGTAAATTCCATTTACATTCATGTGTCCTGCATGGATTCTTCCCCGAGGCACAAGAATTTGGAAGTCTTCTGATCACAGACTGAACCAGTACCAAAAAAAAAAAAAAAAGGAAATACAAAATACTTAATTGGCTGGAGAAGTCAGGAGAGGCTTTTGAACAAGGTGACTTCCAAGTGGGAAGGGATCAGGGCCACTGTCCAGGAGAAGGGAACAGGAAAGGGAAGAAGGGAGGTGTGTTCTAGGAGCAGCAAGTACTGAACTGATAAGAGTGCAGGGTCAGGGTGCCTGCCAGGACAGGAGGTGGGAGCTGTGGGCAGACTGAAATGTGGGGCTTTGGTGCAGCTCAGGGGTGGAGCACGAGCTTAGGGTGGCTGGGGGAGGAGGGTGGGAGAGGGGTGGGGGTTGACTAAAGCCTGAAGGGTTGGAGAGGACTAATGACTGGCCTACAACTCTGAGGACCCACTGAAAGGCTAAGCAGAAAGTTGTGAGCTCAGGGATGCTCTCTGAAAGGTAATCTGTTAGCAGGTGAAGATGGCTCAGAAGCTGAAGAACAGCCTGAGGAGGAAGAGCATGTGCTGCTTCAGAAGCCCTGCGGAGGGGGCAGAGCATCAGCACTTAGTGTTAAAAATGTTAGGCAGGTGATTCAGGTGTACATCCCCTCTTCCCTCCACACCACTTCCTGAACAGACAAATTGGGGCCAAGATGGTAGGATGAGAGAGATTAAGAACTAAGTAGGAGCCGGGTGCTGGTGGCTCACACCTGTAATCCAATCTACTCAGGAGACAGAGATCAGGAGGATCAGGGTTCTTAGCCAGCCTGAGCAAATAGTTCGTGAGATCCTATCTCAAAAATTCCTAACATAGAAAGGACTGTGGAGTGACTCAAGGTGTAGGCCCTGAACTCAAACCCTGGTACTGCAAAAAGCAAACAAACAAACAAAAAAACTGTGAAGAAAAAGCAACAACAAAAGCAATAAACAGACAAACAAATAAATAAAAGAACCAAAACAAGAACTACGAAGGAAGAACTGAGTTCAAACCCCAGTGCTGCAAAATGAAACAAAAACAAACAAACAAAACTATGAATGGAGAGCCAGGTGTTGGTGGCACATTCTTGTGATTCTAGTACTTGGGAGGCTTAGGCAGGAAGATTGTGAATTAAGGCTACCTAGAGAGACCCTGTGTCAAAAAACAAACAAAACACTACAAAGGAGACAGGAACCAAGGGCCTGAGAAGAGAGGGGAGAATCTAGGGGTGTCAGGGCTGACTCGTGGATAATGAAACCAGTGGGAAAACAGGTGGAGTCACCAGTTTTAGGAAGATACCAAGTTAATATGTCAATATACAATTACAATCGATTGTGATGTATTGATGGACTCCTGGAACATCTTTTTTGGTTCTTTTTTTTTTTTTTGCAGTACTGGGGCTTGAACTCAGGGCCTATACCTTGAGCCACTCCACCATCCCTTTTTTGTAATGTTTTTTTTCAAGATAGGGTCTCTGGGAACTTCTTTCTTTCTTTCTTTCTTTCTTTCTTTCTTTCTCTCTTCTTCCTTTCTCTCTTGCTCTCTCCCTTCCTTCCTTCTTCCCTTCCTCTTTCTCTTTCATTCTTTCTTTCTCTTCCTTCTTCCCTTCCCCTCTTTCTCTCTTCCTTCCTTCCTTCCTTCTTTCCTTCCTCTTCCTTCCTTCCTTCCTTCCTCCCTCTCTCCATCCCTCCCTTCCTCTCTCTGTCCCTCCATCCATCCCTCCTTCCTTCCTCTCTCTCTCTCTTTCTTTTCCTCCTCCTCTCCTTTTCTTTTTTATTTTTTTAAACACCTCCAAGTTGAGATATATATATATATATATGTATATATGTATGGCAACACTGGGGCTTGAACTTAGGGCCTTATACTTGCTAGGCAGTCACTCTTAGCACTTGAACCACTCCACCAGCCTTTTCTTTCTTTTTATTGGGATGGGTGTCTCACTGTTGCCCAGAATGGTCTTGAATTCATGGGCTCAGATGATTCTTTTGTCTCAGTGCTAGAACTCCTAATTGCTACAACTATAGGCATGAACTACCATGCCTTGCCACAATAAGTCTTTCAAGTGACATAGAAAAAGAATTAAGGATGAAAATCCTATGAAACACAGACCTTTAAAGGAGTTGGCAGAAGGAAACAGACTTGAGATTTGGAGAAGGAGAAACTGGAGAGAGTGGAGCATTGGTCCTAAGAGAACAGAAAGTCCCTACAAGGATGTAGCTCTGATAAGTGCACCCAAGATGTCAAGATAGGAAAGAACCTCCTGGATTTGGCCACTAGAAGCCATTTTTAGCCTCAATGAGAATGTCATAGTTTCAAGTAAGGAAG